TGCCCTTCGGACGGGGTCGAACGTCCAAAGTGCCCAATACACCTCGATGCCCAATCGAGCCGGTGTCCATTGCCACAACCGAAAAGGTGTAGATGTAGTTAGTACGCTTCCTCATGGTTGGTTTGGAATCAGGTGAACTGCCAGTGATTCACCAATCCGGTTATGACCCCGGACGTTGGTTTTTTGTCCTCTCACTTTGGTGGGAAAACAGCACCGCAACGAGAAGGTAGTGAGTCAGGCTTCCTCAACAGAGACAATTCGAGACGCTTGGTCTTATGAAAGTATTTCGTGAGGTGCAAGGGCAGGGTGACCAGCCGCAACCCTAGATACCCACCCCCGACCATATTGAGGCTTTTGGAGGCTACGTAATATAACATAGAGCTTAAACAACAGCCTACGCTTGATTGTTATTCCTAGAAAATCGAAATCCAGCAATCCATCAATTATCTTTTGAAATGCGCTGGATAAAAATTCCGTTTTATTTCTACAAAGTACTGTGCATATCTCATGTTTCCACTTCCCTTATCCTTATAGCTGGCGTTGTTCGAAATGAACTGGTTAAGCATTCTCCTGTCTGGATTCCTGACTGTGAGGCACGCAACTGTATGGTTTGTGGTGTAACGGAATTCACCCTAGTCCATCGACGCGTACGTTTGTAAGAATAGCTTTTTATTGCTAACCTTTGCATGCTTGACAACAGAATAAATGAAGCACACAGTTACGAAAATCTATTATGTTCAACAAAATCACAATCTGAAGTTGTGAAACACACTGTCTTGTTTAGATAAGCATGCGATTATCGAAGCATTTTATCTGTGGAATGTCTTTTGAACCTTTTTTGGGATAAGTAGATTTGGTTTTGGCCCATCCTTACTTCGGGGTTTTGTATCTCAATCCGCTGAAATTCTAAATTTTCTTGTTGATCCTAAGTTCAAACTTTCTTGTCTTTCTCCCAATGTTCATACAAATGGGCAACCAAAAGACAGCAACCAAAACCGGCGCACGATAGTGCATGGTTAATGGTTGTACAAACTGAACTCAACTGAACCATTTATTTCGATGTACAATTTCGTATTCAGTGATTAAGTCACACGTATTTTGAAAGGTCGCAAACACTCAGTATGCTCAATCAAGCTGGCCATCACAGCTAGAGCCGGGAAAGTGTGGTTATGGTTCGCACGCCTCTTCTTGAATGATTTGGAATCAGGGTTTCTGGTCAATTACCCTGGGTAAATTACCTGCGGTTCACCAACCCGGTTATAGCCCCGGATATCGGCTTTTCGTTTCCTCACTTTAGTGAGTAAATGCTGTCACCGCGTGAAAGGAATGTGAGGTTTTTTCAGCAGAGGCAATTGGAGATACAGGGTCGTGTGGAGACCATTTCGTGGATGGTCAGGCACAACCTAAGACACCCACCACCGACCATATTTAGGGTATTTCACCGTCAAAATGGCGTTCTTCACGACGTGAGTGGTATAATTTTGGACCACGATATGAAGTTTCCATCAACCATGATCGAGTTCCATATCAAAATCTATTATGTATACATATATTATATTGTATAAATTCTTCGCAATTTGATTTGTGAACTGAGCTTGAGATTGCTGAGGGTGCGTTGCATTGATGGTGAGACTGATATTGAACGCCTCTGTTGTTTTTAGCTAGCGCTTCTGTATAGCATTGGTATTGATACACTGGTCTCACCACTAATGCGTGATCAGATTCAACGTGGTCCCATGGGGACCTGCAGTTTTGTACTGAGTGACGCCAACGGTAGCTTATTGCAATGTGGTCGATCTAAGTTAGCGTGTCAGTTGAATTTGAGCGCCATGTTGCTGTCCTTTGAGAGCTGTGTCGGTAGTTGGTGCTGGATAGGAACAGATGATGGTCTGCAAAAAAACTAAAGAAGTCGATCGCCATTATCTGGTCGTTGGCAGGACAGAGCACGATGATCGCCTAGGCAAATTTCCGATGCGCTCAGTTTTCCAACGTAAGCGTTAAAATCAGCTGCGAGAACAACTATATCGGAGCTTCGGCTCAACCCAATGAGTACGGTGAGTTTCTCATAAATCTCGTCATTTTGTGCGTTTTGTGCAGTTGGTCGGTGTATACTCTGAAATGATGAACAAACACCTTTTGGTGTTGTTTCCTTTCCGGACACTAATAAACTCTTGGAGCCGGATCGCATATAAGCGACTGTTGACCGGGATCCAGTCGCGTAGTGCGGCTTCGGCTGTATTGTTGAGTACAATGCCCACACCATGCTGGCCTACTGAACGGGCTTCTTCATCACCTAACGTGCGTAGGAAGAAGTTCGAAGACAATCCCTGAGCACTTAAGTGGCTTATAGTACTAGGATCCGGGGTTTGCGTCTCCGATACGCAGCAGACATCAATACCCAAAGAGTCCATTGTACGCGCCAGACAGGCTTGTCGACCTACCTATATCAGAGTCCTCACGTTGAAGACTCCCAAATTCAGTGTTTGAAGAGGTTTCAGAATATGCAATCTATTTTGTGGTAATCTACTTACCGGGCTACTTGGCGACGAACTTTGACAAGGGACAAATAAGGTGTCTGAGGGGTTGTGACGGGTTGGAAGAACGGATAAAGGGAGAGGGTTGGGTACGAAAGACAAAGAGTTAAATAAAGATAGGGATATCTGATCAGTAGCCCACTTATCACTACCCACCCCGCTCGATGCAATGGACAGCACAGTCCTGATTATCCTGCGCAACGACCGATGCAGTATGAAATTATTTTTTGTTTGTGTATGCATTTGAGTTTGATAGACAGGTACTGCTAGGGCGTCCACCCACTAAGCAGGAGAACGATTAGGGTTCTCGTCCAAAGCCTTCAGTTCTAAGAGGAACCTGACCGCAAGGCAACGGGTAAAGCGAAGTAGAGGCCCATTCACTTGAATCTGTTACTCCTTTACCATTTTTCCGACTGAGACGCTAACTCGAGTCGAACCTCCAACCAGAACGACCACGAGACTGTAATTCGTCTGAACTCTACCCTTTACCCGGATACAATTTGGTTGATTTCCCGATAAAATTTGTCGTCATTCGCGTCCAATCTTCAGATGTGAATTTCATTTCGAAGGTGCAATGTCCTCTCATTGCACCTGCATGTTTCCACTGTGGGGATTTGGTCGGGCAAAAACAGTTTGATTTTTTCTTTCAGACTTACAGGTGTAACCAGTTTACACAGCGCAATCGTTTCTTGATGGGTTAAGAAATAACCCTCTGGATGGAAGTTTAGAAGCTGTTTGGATTAAACCAGTTCAGGGTTTGATATTAGTGTCATCTACTCAAAGCCATATTTGAGACCTATTTTCACCCAACCGTCTTGTTAGCACTACACACTAGATCACATTTTTTTTCTGTGCTTGTTCGACTGTTTTTGTCGTTAACAGCTCACTCTTTGTCTCGGAGATGTATGCGGAGCGGGTAGACTGTGATGGCGCTACAGTATTCGTTCTGCAGATAAATAACTCTTCGAATTCGTCATTGCCATTGCTTCATACGTAGATTTTGTAAGTTTTCTAGCTTTAAGATCCAATATGTCCGTCACACCTAATGATTTCCCTTTGTAGCATCATTGTCGGCATTGTGGCAAAGTGGTTTGCCATAAATGTTCAACATATCGATGGATTCTTCCGCATTTGGGCACCTCGAGAGTTCGCGTTTGTCGTGTCTGTCACGCACAACTCCAAGGAGACAAAGAACGTCAATTGGCACGACAACAGGACGTCCTGGATGAATCCCGCTGGTCTGAGGAGTCGGATGAAAACAGATTATCCGAGCCGGATGCGGCCAACTTTTTCACTTCCTCACGCAATTCCACGCTGATACTGCGCGAGTCGCAACACACAGCCGAGCCTAGTAAGTGTCGTTTTGCTCACGGGTGGTTTTTCTCCTGTTATCTGACATTTTATTAGACATCAAAAATGCTTTCGGTTTTATATTTTCTTTTGTATCCCTTCGCTTCATTCCCTTTCTTCTGCACACGCCGTCAGAAACATGATTTAACCAAAACTGAACAATAGTTCTCTTCTTTTTAGCAATTTTCATTTTTTATTCCGAAAACCAGTGTGAATTTTTATTTTTATTTTGATCTATTGCTTCACACTTTTCCAACTTCCTGACGATGAAACAATTTTGATTGTCCATATGGATCCACCACCGATGCTTGTGCTTGTGTGCTCGTTTGACTATTCATCTTATCAGTTAGGTAGCAAAACCAACCACTTTGTTTAAATACTAACTGATATATTTTAGTGGTTTACTCTCGATTATACATCTGCATAATGTGCGCGGTTCCTGGTCCAATCATGAAACCGACCTGATAATTTCTCTTTATCTGAAGCGGTGGAATCCGGACAGGTGAACCACATAGAACACCCCAAAAGGACCAGAACAGCATGAAGTGGAAACGGAAGTGCGTATCGTTGTTTCCAATGAAGACCTTTTTGATGGAAACTAGTTGAGTAGTCTGTCACCATCAGTGGCGTATTCATACCCGTTTACACTTAAAGACTGCGGCGCATCCGGTGGTAGTCTTGTTCAGGTTTCGGTTATGCCATGAATGAAAAGGCGAGATATCTGTTTTGTGTATTGTTCTCATGAATTCTTCGTACCCCATCGCCACGTCGTCTGCTGACCTCCAATTATCTTTCTTCATTACTGACCACTTATTGCAAATAAGGCACGGTGTGGTCTGTGACTGCTAGATGATAGCAATGTATGTGAGACCGAAGTTTCCGTCGAAACACTCTCAGGCACATAACACTAACTTCAGTCATGCTAATACATTCAATATATTCCACCTGGGCTAAAATGTGCCAACATCGGCGATCAAAAGCCTTGCAGGTCCTTATATGGTTCGCCAATCCAAGTCCTGGGGCTTGGATCATCGAGTTGCATCATTGAACAGCTGGTCCTCGTGACAATGGGGCTTTGCCCGTCTGCTGTTCACTAGGGTGTTATACAAAAATATAGACGGATTCCATTCCCACGCCAACTTCCCCATCTCACAGCTGTAAAACAGAACTGATCCCGTTTTGGCACAGCTTATGTAACCTTCCAACTGCAATAAAATGTCATGTCCCCGCCAAGCGAGCTTCAGTCAGTCTTACACTATTCAATCTGATAAAGTGTGCGGACGTTGAACGCGGCTAAATGAAAAGGGAATTTCGGCTTCAAAAATCCTGTACCTTCTGACTGTTTGGCCTTGCTGGTAAAAAGTTGATTGATATTAGATGGGTGGCGTAAACAGGAATAATTCGGGATTGAAAGGAAGAACAAGATAAATGGGAAAGAGGTTTTTCCAAGTCGTTGCCTAAGCTTTTAGGGCACGACATACTTCGCGGCAGCCCACACCGCCGAAGGGGTTTTCCTTTGGGAACCCTAACCGGAGCCTTCGACTCAAGAATCTGACGCGCAAGGCAGCGGAAAAGTTCGGCCAGTTTTGCTATGCGGAGCAGAAAACAGGATAAAGATAGACTGTCGGCGTTTGAACACCGCTGTGTACGCAGCATTGCACGAATCTGATCGGGCAGCCGAACGAGCAATGCTGAGGTTAGGCGCAGAGTTTTGGGTAAGTGCGGTCGCCCACTGGAGCAAACGGTCGATCTCCATGGATTACGTTGGTTGGGGCATGTGTTACGTACGTCACCAGATAGGTTGCCACGGCGATCGATGTTCGCCGAGGCAGGTAGCGGGTGGAATAAAGCCAAGGGTGGTTAAGCTAAGACGTGGTATGAGGGTATGAAAACTCTAACCGGGAGTCTGTCACAAAGGTCCTGTTAGGCTCCATGGATGGAGGACTGGGAATGGTCGTAACCGATGGTTAGAGACACTGAGTGATATGGCTGAGTGTCGTAAACAGTGGCATTTGTGCATCCTCTCAATTTCTCTCCAACATTAGTCCACTGAAATTCTCAATTTTCTCTTCAATTCCACTTTCAGCCTTCTTGTCTTTCTCCTACTGTTCATCCAAATGGACGGTCAAAAGAAAG